TAAAAGAATTCTAAAAAAATAATTATTAATTTAATTTTATTTATTCATTCATTTATTTTAATCTGACCACAGAGAGACACAAAGAGAGAGAAAGGAAGTGAGAAAACAAGCTACCAGGTCCAGGACTTGAACCATGGTTGGCCAGTGGGAGTGTCAAGTGCCTTAACCACCATGCCAACAGCTGGCCCCCTGCAGCTGCTTTTTAATAGATTTTCCTAAGCACCTTTCAGTGGTGGCAACATCTGCATTTTGCTAGTTTTAAATGGCAGTATCATGTCTGCATCTAACCAACTATTGCCCTATTGTTAGAAATGTAAGTTATTTCTGGGCCAGCAGGTGGCGTGGTTATTGGGGGCACTGAACTCCCCCATATGACTGACCATGGTTAGAGTCCTGAACCTGGTGGCTTGGTTTCTCTCTCTCTCTCTCTCTGTTCCTCCCTGGTCAAATAAATAAAATAAATAAATAGTGTTAAATAAAATAATTATTTAAAAAAAGAAAAGAAATGTAAGTTTTTTCCAACTTGAGTATTATATGAAGAATTCTGAAATGCACTTTCATATGTAGAGAGCCTTTTACTTATTTGGGGTTATTGCCTTAAAATTCCAGGATTATGCGGTTCGAATCCTGGAACCACCAGCTTATGTGCATGCATGCCCAGATTCCCAGGAGGAGAATGGAGGAGAAGGAATTGTGGCATGGTCAACTCCATTGGGGACTGATTTCTCACTTTCCCTCTGTCTCTTTCTGGTGAGTGCACACACCCTATGGCAAAAACCTTATAAAAGAAAAATAAAATCCCAGGATTAATTATAGGTTTGATGAGAACCAGCAGTTAGCGTAATGGCTATGTCGCTGGACTCCCACGTAGTCGACCACGGTTTGTGTCCCAGACCCAGTGGCTTAAAACTCACGCCGGGCACGTGTGCATGCGTGCCCAAGATCCCAAGAGGAGAATGGAGGAGAAGGGATTGCGGCATGACCATCCCCCCTGGGGGGTGATTTCTCGCTTTCTGTCTCTATGTCTCTCTCTGTCTGTCTGGCGAGCACACGCACCCTATAGCGAAAACCTCTCAAAAAAAAAAATTACAGGTTTGATGAATATTTTATGTGTGTGTGTATGCACACACACATACACACACACACAAAGCACTATTCATAAAGCCAGGATATATATAAATGTATGGTTTGTATGCAAATACATTTTTTTCCCCTGCATGTTGTTTCTCAGAGGGATTCTAACAATTTGGACTACTATTTGGCTACTACCAGCATTATGTGATTGGCAGGCTCACCAGAGCCACACAATCTCCTAGAAATCCCTCTTATCTGTACCCAAACTTGCTCATTCTAGACAACTTTAATACCCCGTGGTCATGTCTTTAACATTACTGCACCCTTCACCTCTCTCTGCTTTTCCCAAACCCAATCTGGTGGCGGTAGTTCCCTCTAACTATGAAGGATAGCTATGAACAATTTTTTTTAAAAGAATTATTTTATTTAACTTTATTTATTTATTTATTTATTTATTTATTTTCATTTTTCCTTCAGAGAGGGACAGAGTGAGAGAAGGAGAAAGTGTGAAAGCAAGCCGCTAGGTCTGGGACTCGAACCATGGTTGGCCATGTGGAGTCCAGTGCCCTTAATCACCATACCACCTGCCGGCCCCACTTACGAATCATTTAATAAGCCTTAATACAGTTTTGGACTTTTTGAAGAATTTCCTATACATCCTCTCATCAATGCTCACAACCATTCCAAGGGGGAAAGCAGACCTATGACACTAGCCAAAGATCGCCACTTGTTTCTCTCAGGCTCAAGAGGTCAGCCACTCACCCCTAAGTCTCTGTATGGTGACACTAGAGTAGGAGAAAGGGTTGTGCTCAGGCAACTGACAGATGAAACCTGAGCCTTGTGAGTTTTTTTTTTTTCCCCCCAGTGAACAAGGCACATTCTGGCCAAGTTCAAGAGAATGAAGGTACCTGGAATCTTGACCTTGGGCTGCTCCTTCCTTGCCAGCTCCACTCCCTAGCCCTCCACAACGGCTCCTGTTTACCAAGACCTCAAGGAGGAGAGGCTCCGTTTACCTAAAGGTTAATGTTAACTTGGGCAGAAACGGACCCTGAATTTGACCTCTGGAGTGGCAGGTTGTCTTTGCCTTTTAGAGTCCTTGCCCAAGTGGTAAGAGCAACCCATAACTGCTCATATTCCCGTGCCTCAAAGAGAAGAACAGAAATTAATCGAATTCTGTCTGCTCTTGCGTGAGAGGGCCTCAGCATGTAGAGCAAGGAACCAAGCCTAGGCGCTTTTCGAGAACTGAATCGTCACAGCATTCTTGCCTACATTCCCGAGTTCTAGGCTACCTGTGATACGAGAGCCACCAGGATGGCGCCCAAGACAGGTGCAAGATGGCAAACAACAGCACTTGCCATGTGTGAGTATTTTTGCTTTGTCTTTGGTTCTCTTTCTTTCTTTTATTTTTTAGTTTTGCTCTAGGGCACATGTACTTGTCAGAGACAGCAAGCGAGAAAGAAATAAGGAAAGTGAGAAA